TAGGCCCAGCTTCTGCCAACCTAGCAGTTTGATAACATGCAATAGTGAGTATATCAATAGTCACTGCGTCTGTGGAAAGGAAATGTTGCTCCACGCAGTCATGCTGGCCACATGATCTTGGAGGTGTCTATGGACAACACCAGCTCTTCGGCTTAGAGATGGAGATGTCCTCCAGAGTCGGACACGGCCAGACGTAATGTCAGGGGAAACCTTTACTTTACTTCACCTCTATCAATCTCTAGCTGTGAGCATCCTCTCCTTAATGCTTGTCAGTAAGCATGGTTTATAGCACAATTTATGTTACAGACTTCAAAAAGACTTACTTCTTACACAGATTCAAGTTACTTTTCAATGGAAGCCCCTTCCACACAGCTGAATAAAATCACACATTGAACTGGAAATATATGGCAGTGTGGACTCAGATAACCCAGTTCAAAGCAGATATTGTGGGATTTTCTGCCTCTGGGTTATATGGCTGTATAGAAGGGCCCTGAGGCCATGGTCTTGTAAAATGCTGATGGAATATTAGCACATGATGAAGGTCTTGCTTATGCTGCATTTTGTGTGTTTTAAAGTGATGACGAGGGTGAGTTGTATGCAAGCCAACATTCACAAAACTAATATATATACTTTTGAAAAACAGTATAAATAATAACAACAACAACAATAATAACAACAACACTTTATTTATATTCCGCCCTTCTCACCCCGAAGGGGACTCAGGGCAGATCACAGTACATATACATGACAAACATTCAGTGCCACTTTGTATAGACAATACACAGACAGACAGAAAAGCACGCCCTGGCAGAATATGTCAAGGAAAGCCAAGAACCTGCTTTAATTGAAGTCAATAATCAGAAACTTCTTTAATTGAAGAATTAAATTAAATTATTTTAAATTAAATTAAATTAAATTAAATTGAAGAATTAAATTAAATTACTGACTTCAATTAAATTGCTTTAATTGCTTTAATTGAAGTCAATAATCAGAAACTTCTCAAAGCACAGCAGACAAAGAACCAATACAAGAAAACTGCACTCCAAACCAGAGCTGACAGCTGACACACCAAAGCATTGCATGGGCAGTTCCTTGACAAAATTGAAGGAAAAGTTGATAAGGAGAAGACCTGGTTACGACTCATGAATGGAACCCTGAAGAAGAAGACAGAAGGCCTGATTCTTGCAGCCCAGGAGCAAACCATCAGAACCAATGCAATTAAGCCCAGAATTGAAAAATCAGCTGATGACTCAAAATCATTCGAAAATACATCACACAGTCCTAGATGCTTGGGAAGTGTTCGACTTGTGATTTTATGATAAGAAATCCAGCATATAGATCTCGTTTGCTGTGACATACTGTGTATTTGTGTCAGAATAATAATAATAATAATAATAATAATAATAATAATAATAATAACACTTTATTTATATTCCAACCTCCTCACCCCGAAAGGGACTCAGGGCGGATCACAGTACATATACACGACAAACATTCAATGCTGCTTTGTATAGACAATACACAGACAGACAGAACAGAACAGAAGGAGGTGGTTTGTTTCAGCTGTTTTTGGTGCCATGGAAGGTTGGGCTCCAGTCCAGGGGGTGCTGTTGCTCTATCCTCTATGAAGAAGAGCAGTCAGGACTTCCTCCTTCCTTTTGGTCACCCAGCATTTTCTGATCTTCTTTCTTTATGGCATCATAAAACACCTCCCCCGTTTTTAGCGGTACCTAATTTCTCTAATCACAGCTAAAGCTGTTTTTGAATTGCTTAGGTAAACAATGAGCTAGGCTGACAGTTGGCAGCTCACGCCAACCGGGGCTTTGAACTTGCAACCTTTTGGTTGATAGATCTTATAATTGCTGATGATTTACCAGCTGTGCTAAACCTCCGGCCCTCTGTATGACCTCTGTATCTACAGGGCTAGTAGTTGTGGTTTTGTTTATCCACATCCAACAAAACATACGCTTTCTAGATCAGTGATGGGCAACCTTTTGAGCTTGGTATGTCAAAATTTGCCAAAAACCTGACCATAACTTGGGTGGGATGTCAACTTTGAGAAAAAATAAACGTAATTTTGCAATATTTATAGTTTAAATAAGAAAAAATGTATCTTCCATGCTGAGCTATGGAGTCATCAATGCTCAAACATGCAGATGTTAAATTTGTAGAGCCTTTTACAAATTTAAGGATGGAATTAGATTGGCTCTTATAAGGTGTACTTCTCTGTATGCGGCCGCATGTGGCTGCGTGTCATCAAAAATAGCCATGTGTGTCAGTGCTGACACGCATGTCATAGGTTCACCATCATGGTTCTAGATCCTCCAGCATGACACTGTGTCCTTCCACACAGCCCTATGTCACAGAATATCAAGGTAGAAAATCCCACAATATCTGCTTTGAACTGAGTTATCTGAGTCCACACTCAGATTCTGCGGGATTTTCTGCCTTAATATTCTGGGATATAGGGCTGTGTCGAAGGGCCCGCTATGGTGTTATTGGGTCCAAAGTCTTTATTTGAATAGTATTTACTATTATATACAGTTTTATATATTTATGCAAAGTCTAGGAAAGTATTTCCTCGTGGATACGAAAGTTATACTGTACTTTAAACATATTAAATTATAGTGGTAAATGATTACACGTTGTTTTGAAACTATAAAAGTAACTGGTTTTTTAAATAACTAATGTCCAATACTATTGGTTAGTCATATTTTGTTTATTTCATAAGCTATCAAAGACATAAGCAATTCTATCACTCATCTTATGCATTTTAACATTTCTACAGCACTCATTCGGACTGAAGCAGAGAGGGCTCCTAGGATTCCATAGCACTGAGCCATGTCAGTTCAAGTGGTGGCAAATTGCATTAATTCTACAGTATAGATGCACCTTAATTCCCGGGGCACTTGTCAGCATCACTTTCAAGCCAGTGAGCTGAGAAGCCTTGTATGAGAGAGGGTTGATTTCCTGTGGGATGCTGCAAGTTCCAACTGTATGGATTCTATAGGGTGTACCAAAAGTGTCTATACAAATGAAAAATCAACAAATACATTTATTATATTTTATTTATTTGCACAATCTACATCTGAAAGAAGGCTTTAAAGGAAGGGTCCACAAACTTTTTAAACAGAGGGCCAGGTCACAGTGCCTCAAACTGTTTGAGGGCTGGATTATAATTTGAAAAAAACATGAATTCCTATGCACATATCTTATTTGTAGTGCAAAAGACACTTAAAAACAATACAATATTTAAAATAAAGAACAATTTTAACAAATATAAACTTATTAATATTTCAATGAGAAGTGTGAGCCTGCTTTTGAGATAGGATTGTTGTTGTTGTGTGCTTTCAAGTCATTTCAGACTTAGGTTGACCCTGAGCGAGGGCCAGGTAGATGAACTTGGAGGGCCGCATCTGGCCCCCGGGCCTTAGTTTGAGGACCCCTGCTTTAAAGGGACATGTTTCTTATTTTTGAACCATCAGTGCCAAGGGGTACATCTAGACTTGTCTAACAACAGATATATTGGAACATGTCCATCATGAGTGAGGGAGAAGAATATCAGAATATCAAGGCAGGAAATCTCACATCTGAGTGTGGACTCATATAACACAGTTCAAAGCAGATAATGTTGGATTTTCTGCCTTGATATTCTGGGATATAGGGTTGTCTGGAAGGGCCCTCAGATAACCCAGTTCAAAGCAGATAATGTGGGATTGACTGCCTTGATATTCTGGGATATAGGATTGTGTGGAAGGGCCTTCAGATAACCCAGTTCAAAACAGATAATGTGGGATTTTCTACCTTGATATTCTAGGATATAGATTTATTTATTTAATTAATTTGATAATAGATTAATTCTGTGCCTTCTTGGAAGGCATAGGAATAAATCCACTATTTCCGGGTCTGGACTGCAGAATACTGCAGTCCAGACAGTATTCCCACAGTTTACTGGGCTAAATAACCCCCCAAGCCCCCAGACTCTTTAGAAAACTAATAAAAACTTAATTAGAAGCCTGGGCTGGCTCTCCCGGCACATAGAAAATAACTCCCCCCTTTGCTTTCCTACGCAACGAATGTCTGGACATTCACCCCAGAAATTGCGCACTTTTTGGGGTGGGTGTGGACAGGCCCCAGAAACATCAGCTTTTTAAAATGTGAATGCTTCTGAGATAAAGTCCTGTCTGGATCTGGCCTCAGATAACCCAGTTCAAAGCAGATATTGTGGGATTTCCTGCCTTGATATTCTGAGATATAGGGCTGTGTGGAAGGGCCCTCAGATAACCCAGTTCAAAGCAAATATTGTGAGATTTTCTACCTTAATATTCTGGGATATAGGGCTGTGTGGGAGGGCCCTCAAATAACCTAGTTCAAAGCAAATATTATGGGATTTCCTGCTTTGATATTCTGGGATATAGGATTGTGTGGAAGGGTCCTCCGATAACCCAGTTCAAAGCAGATATTGTGGGATTTCCTGCCTTGATATTCTGGAAGAGCCCTCGGATAATCCAGTTCAAAGCAAATATTGTGGGATTTTCTGCGTTAATATTCTGTGATATAGGGCTGTGTGGAAGAGCCCTTGGATAACCCAGTTCAAAGCAGATATTCTGGGATACAGGGCTGTGAGGAAGGGCCCTCAGATAACCCAGTTCAAGGCAAATATTGTGGGATTTTCTGTCTTAATATTCTGGAATACAGGGCTGTGTGGAAGGGCCCTCAGATAACCCAGTTCAAAGCAAATATTGTGGGATTTTCTGTCTTAATATTCTGTGATATAGGGCTGTGTGGGAGGGCCCTTGGATAACCCAGTTCAAAGCAGATATTCTGGGATATAGGGCTGTGTGACAGGGCCCTCAGATAACCCAGTTCTGGGATACAGGACTATGTGGAAGGGCCCTGGGGCTTCTGAAGCCCAAAATCCTTTGGAAGCCTAGTGGTGTAGGTGCACTCTAGGAGAGGCCAATGTGATAGGAGGGGCACTAGGACCGCAGCGCCTCCCTTTCCCGCCCAGGGTGGATTGCAGAAGCCGAGAGGAGGAGAGATCTCCAGACACGAGAGGAGGTTATAGGAAGAGGAGAGGAAAAAGCAATGCCACAACGAGGAGAGAGCTGAGAGAGAGAAAGAGAGAGAGAGAGCGGGAGAGCGAAGCAGAGGAGGGGGGAAATCCACAGTGCAAGAAGCCGCTCTCCCCCAGAGCCTGATCTTTTCCACCCAGGCGCAGGCGAAGCATTCCCCTCCAAGATCGGTCCAATGAACATGTCAGTGTTGACTTTGCAAGAATACGAATTCGAGAAGCAGTTCAACGAGAATGAAGCCATTCAGTGGATGCAAGAGAACTGGTAAGATGGGGATGGGGCAGGTGGTGGAGATCGTGGTGATGATGATGATGATGGGGAAGGCTCGGTCCGGGCTCGGGCTGGACTCCTTGGGCGTGTGCGCATGGGTGCTTTTTCCCTGGCTTTCCAGGGCATGGCTTCCGAAGATGGGGAGGGAGGGAGAAAGGGGAGGATGGAGAGGAGCAGCCCAGAGGATGCGAGGGGGAAAGAATACAATGATCTATAAGGTGTCGAAGGAGGAGGAGAGACGGGATCTTCTCCTTTCGCGTCCCAATGGTTGCGTATGTGCGCAGGTTTGCAGATCACGGGTAGGTAGGTGGTGTTCCCCCCTCCTCCTTGATGTGAATGAGCCTAGTGTTAGAAGGCCGAACAAGCCCGCCACTGTTCGGGGGAGGAGAAGAGCAGGAGGAGGCACATCCAAGCGCCCGTTGTTTATTTCGGTCCAAAATTATATAAGAACCCGAGGAAGGCATCCCCCAATTCAGGAGCCCTGGGATGCCTCCTGCTCTCCAGCCTTCTCGGCATCTTTGGGGGCATCTGTACTGTAGAATGGATGCGGTTTGGCACGGCTTAAACCGCCATACTATGCGAGCATGGGAGTTGTAGCTTTGAAAGGACTTTGGGTGTAGAATGAATGGGTTTTGACACCTCTTGAACTGCCAAGGCTCAGTGCTGTGGGATCTACTACAATGATACCGCCAAAACCACCATATTATGCGAGCATGGGAGTTGTAGTTATGAAAGGTCTTTGGCCATCTCTTTGGGTGTAGAATGAATGGGCTTTGACACCTCTTAACTGCCAAGGCTCAGTGCTGTGGGATCTACTACAATGATACCGCCAAAGCCACCATACTATGTGAGCATGGGAATTGTAGTTTTGAAAGGTCTTTGGCCTTCTCCTTGGGTGTAGAATGAATGGGTTTTGACACCTCTTGAACTGCCAAGGCCCAGTGGGATCCTGACTGTTGTAGTTTGGTAAGACAGGGAAGGTGAAAGACTGTGTGAAACTACAACTCCCAGGGCTCCATAGCATTGAGACAGGGCAATTTACAGTGTTGTCAAACTGGATTCCATCTATAGTGTAGATGTACCCTTTGAGGTCTTCTTGGGGGTATCTGAGCCCTCCTGGTTCACTAAAGTGGTGTCAAACTACATCCCGTCTACAGTATAGATGCATCTTTTGAGGTCTTCTTGGGGGTATATTTGAGTCCTCCTGGAGCACCAAAGTGGTGTCAAACTGCATTCCTTCTACAGTGCAGATGTACCCTTTGAGGTCTTTTTGAAGGTGTCTTTGAGCCCTCCTGGGGCACTAAAGTGTTGTCAATCTGAATCCCTTTTACAGTGTAGATGCACCTTTTGAGGTCTTCTTGGGAGTATATTTGAGCCCTCCTGGGGCACTAAATTGTTGTCAAACTGCATTCCTTCTATGGTCTTCTTGGGGGTATCTTTGAGTCCTCCTGGGGCACTAAAGTGATGTCAAACTGCATCCCTTTTACATTGTAGATGTGCCCTTTGAGGTCTTCTTGGGAGTATATTTGAGCCCTCCTGGGGCACTCCGTAAGCTTCACTGTTAGGAGAGTAAGCATTTCTTTTTTTCATTTTTTAAAAATAATTCCAAAATTTTCATCTTGTTAGTTCTGCATACATATTATTATTATTATTATTATTATTATTATTATTATTATTATCCAGAAAGTCATTGTAATATTTCATTACATTTGTAAGAGATGCAAAAATAATATTCCAGAAATATAAGATATTGGAATCTTTCATCCTATTCAGGGTGTGTGTGTGTGTGTATGGATATATATAGATAGAGATACACACACACATATATATACACACATATACATACATCCTGTATATCAATACACAAACACACACACACATACATGCATACATACACACACATACATACGTCTAACAGGATGAAAGATCCCAATATCTTATACTTGTGGATTATGATTATATATGAAGAAGATACCTGTCTATATATAGAGAGTGAGACAGGTGGGGATGCCCAGTATATCTATATATACCTATGGAGAGGGGAGATCCTTCTATCTATCTGTCTATCTTTATATCTATGGAGAGGGGAACTCCTGTATGTGTGTGTATCTCCATCTATATAGATATACAAGGTGTATGATGTATTTGTGTGTTTGTGCATGTGTGTGTGTGTGTGTATATATATATATATATAGAGAGAGAGAGAGAGAGCGCTATGTGTATTAATATATATATCTTACATTTCTATCTATATTTATATCTATGGGGAGAGGAGGACTCCTGTATATGTGTGTGTATATGTTTGTGTGTGTTTGTGTTTATATTTATATATATTTATATTCTATCTATCTATCTATCTATCATCTATCTATATTTATATCTATGGGGAGGGGGACTCCTGTATATATGTGTGTGTGTGTGTGTGTATATATATATTCTATCTATTTATCTATCTATCTGTCTGTCTGTCTATCTATATATCTATGGAGAGGGGGACTCCTGTATATGTGTGTGTGTGTCAGTGTCTCCATGTATATAGATATACAGGGTGTATGTGTATATATATATCCCTGTGTTTATTCTATCTATCTATCTATCTATCTATCTATCTATCTATCTATCTATCATCTATCTCTATTTATATCTATGGAGATGGGGACTTCTGTATGTGTCTCCATGTATATATATACAGGGTATATGTGTGTGTAGACTGTGTATATATATATGTGTGAGTGTATTATATCGATCTATCTATCTATATCGAAATATCTATATTTATATTATATCTATCTATATTTATATCTATGGAGAGGGGACTCCTGTATGTGTGTGTATCTCCATGTATATAGATATACAGGGTGTATGTGTGTGTGTGTTGGTGTCTATCAATCTGTTTGTCTAACTATCTATATCCATATATATATAGCTAATACATGGTTCCCCCCCCCTCTCTATATATATACACACATATACATGTCTATGCATGTATACACACACCTACATAAACATATAGACAGGGCTCTCCTTCTCCGCCCTGTATTTATTTTCGCTTGCTAGCAACGGATGGCACAAGGTTGTTTGGCTCCGCCTTATATAGTCTAGAATCGTCAGGTGCCCTTCAACGTATGGCGGCTTCCTCCCTCTCCCCCCCCCCCTTCCCTCCCTCCTTCCTTCCCCAGCCATTTCCTCCCCAGTTTGAATCATGGCATGGCCTTTGCTTTGCAATGCCACCCTCTTTGGTATCTATTGGGGTCAGTGGAGTTTAGCATCAGGTGAGCAGGACCACCGCCGGTGGCTTTTCCCACTTGATGGCGTGATCCGGAAAGAGGGGAGGGGAGGGGCGGGGGAGCGAGGCGGGGGCCTCTCTCTCTCTCTCTCTCTCTCTCCCTCCCCCTCCTCCCGCCATGAATGGAGCCGGGCGGCGAGACTTTTGTCTTCCCAGCCAGGGCCACCCCACGCCCTCCTGGGCGAATCAATGGCAGGCGGGGAGAGGCAACATGAGGTGACGCGCCGGCAGCTGCGTGTTGCAGGGCTTAAGGCGAGGAGGGGCGGGGGCTCGGCCCCGGAACCCAGGTTTGAATGCCGGGCACAGCATGGCCATGAAGAACTCAAGAGCGGCCCATGCCTCTGCGCATGAGCAGAGCGCATCGCTGCCTCCCCTCTCGCCATCGCCTAGGATCCAGTAGCCCAGGCTCTGAACCTGAATTTTAAAAGGAGGATTGAGGAAGGGGGGGGGGCTCTCCAAGGCACCCCCCCCTCAAACCATCTTCTTGGGGGTGCATCTACATCAGGCATGGGCAAACTCCAACCCTCCAAGTGTTTTGGACTTCAACTCCCACCATTCCTAACAGCCAGTGGGCTTTCTGGGTTTCTGTGAGTTTTCCCGAACTGTTTTTCTATGTTCCAGAAGCATTCTCTCCTGACGTTTCACCCACATCTATGGCAGGCATCCTTAGAGGTTGAGGGGTCTGTTGGAAACTAGGAAAGTGAGGTTTATATATCTGGAATATCCAAGGTAGGAGATAGAACTCTTGTTTGTTTGAGACAGTTGGCCACCTTGGTTAGCATTGAATGGCCCATCAGTATCAAAGCCTGGTTGGTTGCTGCCTTGGGGAATTCTTTGTTGAGAGGTGTTAGCTGGCCCTGATTTATTCTTGTCTGGAATTCCCATGCCTTTTGAATTTTACTCTTTATTTAATGTCCTGATTTTAGAGTTTTTAAGTACATAGGGACCAGCAAATGCAGCGATGCCCAAACACAAATCAAAGAACATAAAAGGCATTGCAGACTACTTCAGTCAGAGAAGTTCTCCTCTCTTAGGCAATCCCTCGTCCGAGAAGGATAGTCTTCCAGGATCAGTGTTCTGGTGGTGGGTCCGTAGGTGACTGTGGAGCCCTATTCTTGATCTGCATCTTCTCCTGCAGTGAGGGCATTGCTTTCCAGGTGGAAGGCAGTCCCGGTCGGGGTTGGCTTGATGCGCCTTCCTCTTGTCACGTTTCTCTCTCACACCCTCTATTTGTGCCTCTTCAAATTCTACAGCACTGCTGGTCACAGCTGACCTTCAGCTGGAGCGCTCAAGGGCCAGGGCTTCCCAGTTCTCAGTGTCTGTGCCAGAGTTTTTAAGGTTGGCTTTAAGACCATCTTTAAATCTCTTTTCCTGCCCCCCAACATTCAGAGAAGTTAGCCATAGCAGAGCACTTGAGGAACCAACCTGGACACAGCATATTATCTGAGAACACAGAAATTCTAGACCACTCTACCCACTATGTCACATTAAGCAGAGAAGGCATTGGAATCCACAAACATGTGGGAAATTTCAACAGAAAGGAGGAAACCATGAAAACGAACAAAATATGTCTACCATATCTTGTTCTATTTTAAAAAAAAAGCCCTCCAAAATCGGGGCAATAAAGAAAGAGCAACACTCAAAAAGCAGGGGAACTCCAGACAACAATCAATCAGGATGCTAACACCTTCCAACATAGGATTCTCCC